CTGGGCGGCCTGACCTTGCGTGAGAAGACCTGGAGAGGGGGCTCCCCGGAGATGTGAGCAGGGACACAAATTGGTTTGGGGGCGGGGCCGAGGGGCGTGCCTCCTCTGACCACGCCCCCTTCACGCAGCAAGCGCTTCTCCGCGTCGGAGGCCAGTTTCCTGGAGGGGGAAGCCAGTCCACCGCTGGGCGCTCGCCGCCGTTTCTCGGCGCTGCTGGAGCCCAGCCGCTTCAGCGCCCCCCAAGAGGACGAGGATGAGGCCCGGCTGCGCAGGCCTCCCCGGCCCAGCTCCGACCCCCCAGGCTCGCTGGATGCACGGGCCTCCAAAGAGGCGACTCCAGGGGAAGGCACCCCCGGCACCGGGGACCTGGATGCCAGTGAGTGCCCTCTCCTGCCGCCTTTCTCCAGTTCCTCAAGGGCCATATATTGAGTAGTCAGTGAGCCTGGCACTGTTTATGCAAGATTTCATGTACTATTCGTACTTCCCCCAGTGCCATGCTCATTCACTCACGATTGACTGATACAGACTACTTCTTTGTATCAGGAGCATTGCCCGATGCATGTTACCAGATCTGATGAAACTCACAATCTAGCAGGGGGAAGTGGGAGGCGCCTTCCAGGCAAAGGGACCAACAACATGTGAAAAGGGACGTCCCTGGCTTTGGACTGATCCCTAACCCATCTGCTCTCTGTTGCAGCTGACCGCCCACACCCAGGTGATCTCTGCCCACCCTCGAAGGATGGGGATTCATCAAGCCCTAGGGCCACCAATGACTTGGTTCTGCGCAGGGCACGGCACCAACAGATGTCAGGGGACCCTGTAGTAGAAAAGAGGCCTTCTCGAACTGGGGGCAAAGTCATCAAGTCAGCCTCTGCCACTGCCTTGTCTGTCATGATTCCTGCAGGTATTGCTGGGCCCTACCTGGCAGGGGAGGGGCTTCCCCCATTTGAGCCAGAACAGACCAATGAAAATAGTGCATTTTCTCTGTCCATAGTGATTGGCTCCAGGATGAACCAATGAGTGGCTGCTCTGGGACTTTGGGGAGGAGGGAGGAGCAGATCAGAGAGATTTGTGTCTGGGTGGCTTTGACCCCTGATCGTGTTTCTGTGTCTGCAGTGGACCCACATGGAAGCTCACCCCTTGCTAGCCCCATGTCCCCACGATCTCTCTCCTCCAATCCATCCTCACGGGACTCCTCTCCCAGCCGGGACTATTCACCAGCCGTCAGTGGGCTCCGCTCCCCCATCACCATCCAACGCTCGGGCAAGAAGTATGGCTTCACGCTTCGTGCCATCCGTGTCTACATGGGCGACTCAGATGTCTACAGTGTCCACCACATTGTCTGGGTAAGCATTCATGGGTGGGATCTATATCCAAGATGGGGGTTTGGAAAGAGAAGTCCCCCTCCTCCAGGGATGAGTGACACTTCAAACTCTGGAGCCAGGCAGCCTGGGTGAGACTCCTTTGGGATCCCCTGTCACTTTTCTCTCTGAGCCTCAGTTTCTTCATCTGCAAAATGGGGAGAATAACTACTATTTCATAAGGTGTGATAAGGCATATAGTACCTGCAGAGCTAAGTGTCTGGCACATAAGCTTAGGAACTTTCCTTGTTACCAATCCCATTAACCCTGTCCCTGTGGGGTGTTCTGTCCTCAGCATGTTGAGGAAGGGGGCCCAGCCCAAGAGGCGGGGCTCTGTGCCGGGGACCTCATCACCCATGTCAATGGGGAACCTGTGCATGGCATGGTGCATCCTGAAGTCGTAGAGCTGATCCTCAAGGTGAGTGCAAGGGAGAAGGCTCACTGGGTGGAGAGGAGGGGAGACGTGAGCAGCCTCCGGTATTTTCCCTTCCTTTCTTCCCTTAGAGTGGCAACAAGGTAGCAGTGACCACAACGCCCTTCGAAAATACCTCTATCCGCATTGGCCCCGCAAGGCGCAGCAGCTACAAGGCCAAAATGGCTCGGAGGAATAAGCGGCCCTCTGCCAAGGAGGGTCAGGAGAGGTGGGCAGAGCTATCAACAGTCCGGGATAGGCCGGGCTCAGTGGCTCAGCCTGTCATCCCAGCGCTTTGGGAGGCCGAGGCGAGTGGATTGCCTGAGCCCGCGGGTTCGAGACCCACCTGGGCAACTTGGCGAGACTTTGTCTCTACAATAAAAATCAAAAATTAGCCAGGCGTAGTAGCGCGCGCCTGTAGTTCCGGCTACTTGGAAGGATTGCCGGAGCCCAGCAGGTCGAGGCTGCGGTGGCCGGGAGCGTGCCACTGCACTCCAGTCTGGGCGACAGAGTGAGACTTCAACTCAAAAAAACAAAACAAAAAACAGTCCAGGCTTTGAGTAGTGGGCGGGGCTAAGGCAGGAGGGGCACGGTGAGGACAGGGAAGGAAAGTGCACAAGAGAAGTGGCTGGATGGAGCCCCTGAGTGAAGAGCCAAGACAAGGGGACAAACAAGATGGCTAGGAAAAGGAAACTGTGTCGAGTTTCTAGACTGGGAGAAAAGCATTGTGGGAGGGTCTTGTGCTGGTTAGCAGGGCCATGAGATGTGGACTGTGGGGAGGGTGCTGTCCTGTTAGATATGGGGATGTCCAGGACATGGCCTTGCCTGTTAGATGTGTTTAAAATGGGCTGGGAGGTGCTAAAATAAGAGATTTCCATCGGAATGAGCATGCCAGGCAAGACTGAGCCAACTGAAATCCTTTTTCCCTTACACATAGGCAGAGCCAGGAGAGAGGTGGGTGGGGCCTGAAGAGTGTTCTGTTTTGATCAGTGGGTTTGGCCCAGACAAGGAGATGGGACTTGAGCGAGTGAGATGAACCACACATGCCAAGTAAACTTCTTCCCGCCTTGACAGGTGGATTGTAGCTGGAGTGGGAGGAGCTAGCGAGATGGGCGGGGCCAGAAGAGGTTGGTTTGGGGATGAGTTTCTAACTTGGACGGGGCGTGGCCAGAAAGTGCGCAGGACCTGAAGTGGGAGGGGCCGGGCGACGCGGAGGCAAAGGAAGTTCTGTTTTGATAGGTGGGTTGTAGCTGGAGAGGGCGGGGCCAGGAAGCGTGGGCGGTTACAGGCGCTGTAGTAAGGCCCTGAGTGGGCGGAGCCGCGATCTCCGGCGTCCAGGTCAAGGGTAGGTGGCGCCCTCCCTGTTCCGCAGCAAGAAGCGCAGCTCTCTGTTCCGGAAGATCACGAAGCAGTCCAACCTGCTGCACACTAGCCGCTCGCTGTCGTCGCTGAACCGCTCGCTGTCGTCCAGCGACAGTCTCCCGGGCTCGCCCACGCACGGGCTGCCGGCGCGCTCGCCCACGCACAGCTACCGCTCCACGCCTGACTCCGCCTACCTAGGTAGGCCCTGCCCCGGCGCGGGGCCCGAGCTGCCCGTGGCGGCCTAGGCGGGCGTCCTTGCGGTCCTCACCGCCCACCACCCCTCCTCTCGCCCGCAGGCGCCTCGTCCCAGAGCAGCTCCCCAGCCTCGAGCACGCCCAACTCGCCGGCGTCGTCCGCGTCGCACCACATTCGGCCCAGCACGCTACATGGCCTGTCGCCGAAGCTCCACCGCCAGTACCGCTCCGCGCGCTGCAAGTCGGCCGGCAACATCCCGCTGTCGCCGCTGGCGCACACGCCGTCCCCAACGCAGGCGTCTCCGCCGCCGCTGCCGGGCCACACGGTGGGCAGCTCGCACACAACGCAGAGCTTCCCAGCCAAACTGCACTCGTCGCCGCCTGTCGTGCGCCCTCGCCCCAAAAGCGCCGAGCCCCCGCGCTCGCCACTCCTCAAGCGCGTGCAGTCGGCGGAGAAGCTGGGTGCCTCCCTGGGCGCGGACAAGAAGGGCGCGCTGCGCAAACACAGCCTCGAGGTGGGCCACCCGGATTTCCGCAAGGACTTCCACGGCGAGCTGGCGCTGCATAGCCTTGCCGAGTCCGACGGCGAGACGCCCCCCATCGAGGGCCCTGGGGCGTCACGGCAGGTCGCGGTCCGCCGCCTGGGCCGCCAGGAGTCACCCCTGAGCCTGGGCGCGGACCCTTTGCTGCCCGAGGGCGCCCCCAGGCCGCCCGCGTCCAACAAGGAGAAGGAGTCCCCGGGGGGCGCTGAGGCCTGCACCACGCCTCGCGCGACGACCCCCGGGGGCCGGACCCTGGAGCGGGACGCCAGCTGCACAAGGCACCAGAGCGTACAGACGGAGGATGGCACGGGTGGGGTGGCCAGGGCCGTGGCTAAGGCGGCGCTTAGCCCGGTGCAGGAACACGAAACGGGCCGGCGCAGCAGCTCTGGCGAGGCGGGCACGCCCCCAGTGCCCATTGTCGTGGAGCCCGCGCGGCCGGGGGCTAAAGCTGAGACTCCCCAGCCTCCTGGCACGGACTCCAAGGGGCTGCAGGAACCCGTGCCTGTAGCGCCTCCAGTGGCCGAAGTCCCCAGGGGCCGGGAGCGCTGGGTGCTGGAGGTGGTGGAGGAGCGGACCACGCTGAGCGGGCCTCGCTCCAAGCCCGCCTCCCCCAAGCTCTCCCCGGACCCCCAGACCCCCTCCCTAGCCCCGACGAAGAATGCACCCAGCAGCGCAGCGCCCTCAGCCCCACCCGCCTCCTTTCTGGTCCCCGGCGCCAAGCCTGAAGCAGGGCTGACATCCCAGTGCCTTGCTGAAGCTGTGCCCCCAGCAGGCCTGACCAAAAAAGGGACACCCAGCCTTGCACCCCCAGGCCCATAGCCAAGGGGGCCCTTGGCCCTGCGCTGTACAGCTCTGTATACATATGTACACATATAAATAAAATGCGTCCGTGCTGCGTGAGCTTTCTGGGGTTCACCCCTCCTCCCTTGGCAAAAGGAGACATCGTGTCCCCACCCTCACCCCCCAGTGCCTCTTGGGGGTGGAACTTTAGTCCTTGTTACCATGAAGAAGGGGGAGAGTTTTGCATGGGCCCCTCCTGTGGTCCCACCTACCACCAGGTGTCCCCAAACCCTTGAGATAGGAGGCGTTCTCTGGCCCAGTACCCACGTGAAGAAGAGAAAACTGCCTCATCCACCAATTTCCTTTTATTTCCTCAACAATCCTGAGTGGCATATATTATGTTTCCCCTTTTGCAGGTTAGTAAACTGAGTCAGAGGGAGATTAAAGCCACACAATTAGGAAGGGGAGGAACTGGGATTCAAGGTCAAGTCCAAACAGGTTCCTGAGCCTCAGCTCTTACACACCCTGCTGTGCTTTCTGCCTGTGCTCTCCTTAACACTTCTCAAAGTGCTTCACTAGGGGCTGGAAGGCCTTCCAGAGGGCCGGCAGCTGGGCACACACTGTGCCCCCACCGCGGTGCTCCTCTCCTTCATTCCGATTCATATCACCCACACAGGTCCAGGGTCCTCCTGTGGCCACACACCATTTGGAGTGGTCCTCTGTGGCATTGAAGGTGGGCCCGGCCGGCCCAGGGAAGTCTATCTGGGTCACATCCAGAACTTTCCAGACCCCGGAGCAGTTGGAGGGCAGAATGCCTGGAGACCTCTGCCAGAACTGGACCTGCAGGTCACTGCCAAGGGCTTCTGCCAGCCAGCCGGAGTACAGGTCTGCAGAGGTTGGAAAGAAAGCACGGGTAGAGTCAGGGCCATTGCTAGGGCTTCCCCAGGTCACTGCCCCTCTCCGAGCTCGGCTTCTTCATTTCTAAGTTCAGTTGTCAATTCTCAGCAACATTGGGAATAACATTAACATTAGTAGCCCTACTTAAATGCTTTGTATTTATTTATTTTTTCATACAGACAGGCTTGCTCTCTGTTGCCCAGGCCAGAGTGCAGTGACGTAGTCATAGCTCACTGCAGCCTCAACCTCTTGAGGTCAAGTGAGCCTCCTGCCTCAGCCTCCTGAGTAGCTGGAACTATAAGTGTGCTATCATGCCTGGCTAATTTTACAACATTTTTTGTAGAGATGAGGTCTCACTATGATGCCCAGCTGAGCTCAAACTCCTGGTCTCAAGCTATCCTCCCATTTTGGCCTGCCAGAGTACTAGGATTACAGGAGTGAGCCACCACACTAGGCCTCTGCTTTATATGCATCACTCCACTCACAACAATTCTTTAAGATAGATACCAGTATCCCCATTTTTCAGGTGAGTAAACTAAGGCCCAGGTGAAATCATATATTACACAGCCAAAAACTATTATTTGAGCCCAGTCTGTTTACCTCTTATGTGATCATAGCTCCCAAAGAGACCCAGTCTCTACTTCTGGCCTGTCCTCAGCCATGGACACACCAGACACTCCCCCTCAGGGCTCACCATCTCCAAAGTATGTGGATTTGGCAAAGCTCTGGAAAGTAGCCCCTGCCTGGGATGTAAGTGTTACACTTCTGTTCCAAGGTTCGTGACTAATGTGGTGGCCTTTGATCACGTCCTCCAGTTCAGGGAATTTCTGGGCGAAGAACCCTTCTAGCTTGTGGTCATAGACCAGGGGGAAGGTGTAGGTCAGCTGACTGCCTGGAGGACAAGGAGAGGAAGAAATGTGAGACTGCGCCAGGTTCTGGTCCGGGAATCTGGGACTCACCCTGCCTCCCCGACTCCGCTCACCGATCCTGGAGAACTCGGTGAGGGGGAAGGACACACAGAGCAGAGTCTGCCCATATTTGAGGGCGCTAGGTGGCCACCCGTAGGCAGCAGAGGAGGCTGGCGAAGGGAAGTGCGGTACACTGTGGACCAGCCAGAAGCCCCCGTCTTGGTCCAGGAGCAGGACACCTGGACCAGAACAAAGTGATCAGGAAGGAGCCGCTCAAGGCACCCCAGCAAACCCACATACAACGAGGAACACTCCCAGTTTGCAGGGAGGCTTGGATGCCTGCAGCGTCAGGACCACTGCTGAGCTGTCTCCCCAGAGGCAAACTCTCATAGTCCAGAGTAATGACAAGATTTTCTTTTTTTTAGTCTGTCGCCCAGGCTGGAGTGCAGTGACATGATCACAGCTCACCATAGCCTTGAACTCCTGGGCTCAGGTGGTCCTTCTGCCTCAGCCTCCTGAGTAGCTGGGACTACATGCACACGCCACCACACCCAGCTAATTTTTTTTTCTTTATTTTTGGTAGAGAGATGGTCTCACTATGTTGCATAGGCTGGTCTTGAAATCCTGGGCTCCTCAGCCTGTAATCCCAGCACTTTGGGAGGCTGAGGCGAGTGGATTGCCTGAGCCTGCGGGTTCGAAATCTGCCCGGGCAACTTGATGAGACCTTGTCTCTACAATAAATGAAAAATTAACTGGGCGTGGTAGCGCACCTGTAGTTCTGGCTACTTCGAAGGCTGAGGTAGAAGGATCTCCGAGCCCCGCAGGGCGAGGCTGCAGTGGCCGGGAGGGTGCCACTGCACTCCAGTTGGGCGACAGAGTGAGACTTCTATTCAAAAAAAAAGAAAAAGAAAAAGAAAAAGAAATCCCGAGCTCAAGCAATCCTCCCACTTCGGCCTCCCAAAATGCTGGGATTACAGGTGTGAGCTCCCACGCCTGGCAGCCAAGCTTTTCTTTTTGTTTTATTTTTGAGTCAGAGTTTCACTCTGCCGCCCAGGCTGGAGTGCAGTGGCATGCTCACAGCCACTGCAGCCCCGACCTGCTGCACTCAGGCGATCCTTCCGTCTCAGCCTTCCAAGTAGCTGGAACTACAGGTGTGTGCCATCACATCCAGCTAATTTTTGACTTACTGTAGAGACGAGGTCTCGCCATGTGGCCCGGGCTGAACTCTAGGCTCAGGCAATCCTCCCACCTCGGCCTCCCAAAATGCTGCGATTACAGGCGTGAGCCCCCACGCCCAGCCAGCCAAGATTAATATAAGGTGAGGAAACAGATACCTAGGGTTTGACAGGAGAGGCCCTCCTCCCCCACCCAGGTCGGGGATGAATTTGGGAAAATGTAGACAGACACCTAGTCCCTCCTTAGGCTCCTATCCAGGCCTCACCCTTCGTGTGTCCACGGCTGGAACTGTCCCATGCCCTGCTGGAACTAGGCGGTGGCTGGTCATTGTAGAGCAAGAAGGCGAGCTGGGGGTGGGGGGGATTTACAGAGGGAACGTGAATCCCCCCCCAGGCGGAGCCCACCTACAGTCTCACCCCCGTTCCGCGGTCACCCTTTCACCTGGCTGGTGTTGCCTCGGTACAAGGGCAGCAGGCTTCGGCCCACGGCCCCGGCAGAACTGTCAATGGTCCCCACGCCGTCGCGCCAGCCCCGGGAGTCCTGGTCCAGGTACTTGTACAGCAGCCCTTTCTGGGGTCCCCCGGACCCGCTATAGGCCGGCAGCTTGTACACCACAAACCTGGAGAGAGGGAGGAATGCCCAGAGGTGGGGAACGGGGAGGAGAAGGAACCCCAGGCTTCAGCGAGGGGGTCCCCGGGCGACGCCGGCGCCCGCGCACTCACCAGTCCACAGGTCGCCCCGAGTCCCCGTAGCAGGTCAAGGCCCCGGCGGGGACCCAAAGCAGCGCCAGCAGCAGCGGGCTTATCGTCGCCATGCGGCTGGGATTGCGAAATCCGTGTCGAGATTGCGGGCTCCGGGTCACGAGCCGCTCCTCTCC